TTGTTGTATTCAAGAGTTAGTAACAAATATACATTAACATTTTAAACCTAGCCAGTGTTACTTAAGTGATTTGACACAAGATGTGAGAACATGTTAGTATTAGGAGCTGAGTGGGTCTAATATTTATTAAATCCTCTTTTTTTATATATAGGAATTAGGTACAGTGCTTCTATCAGATAATTTCTAAGTTATCTGGAAAAAAAAGAAAAAAAAACCTAGAGTTTTCAGGTGCCTAAGTAGTCCTTGGAATCACGGTTAAAGTTGCCCCTCCCCCCAAATCTGAAATAGGGCCCCTGTCCGAGAGGCCAGTTAGGTCACTTGGCATCATCTGAGAGAGGGAAGGCCCAGGGTTAATTGAGAGTGAAGCCCAGCTGGGGAAGGGCTGGAACAGCACTGCAAAGACAGGAAGCTGAGAGCAGAACAGGGGTGCAGGGGAAAGTCTGTTGTTGCTCCCTGGGGGGCAGTAACAAGGGGAAGTCCGGGGGAGAGTAAGTCCTGAGAACCTGTCCTAAAATAAGGAGTCTGGCAAAAGAAGCTAGAAGTGGGTGAAGTAGCCACAGGGAGTAGAGTAGGTGCCCATGGTAAACCCAGAACCAGGCAAGAGACAATAGTGAGGCTTGGTAGGAAGGAGCACAGGGAAACAAGAAGAGGGGCCTGGATTTCTAATTATGGGGTCCCTGGGCTGGAACCCAGTATGCCAGGTGGGCCTAGATTCCACTGGCAGTCACTGGTAGAGTGGCATAGAACCCTGAGCTGCGGTTAAACATTGTCTGGAAACAGTATTTGGACAGTTGTCCTGCTGGACTGTAACCCTGGAAGAGGTGGACTAAATGGTGACCTGACCAGCAGGCCACATTACCAGAAGAAAGACTACTGCAGAGCAAGTAATGAGCAGCAAGGGGGTACCTGGAGTGGCAAGATGGTACCTGATGCAGCAAGTGCTACATTCCCAGAACAAGATGCATGGAGGTGGGCTAGCAGTTAGGGGTAACTCCATTACAAAGACAAAGCAATTTTACACCTAACATTTACCAATTAAAACAGAAAAACATATCCTGAAAATTTTGCTCTGCCTCATATTCTAGAACAGTGGTTCTCAACCAGGACTATGTGTACCCCTGGGGGTACACAAGGACTTCCAGGGATACATCAACTCATCTAGATCAGTGTTTCTGAATCTGGGGGTTGTGGGATGGGTTTGGGGTGAGGGGTTGCAAGTGTAAGGCTGGTGTTAGGGGGAGGCAAGCAGGGCAACTGCCCAGGGCACCACGCCATGGGGGGCGGGGCCCACGAAGATAAGTTACATGACTCAGTCTCTGTAAGCAGAAGATGCATGAAGCAGGTACATGAGGGCATATACCCATTTGGAGTTCAGCTTTCAGACTGGCTCAACCATCTGCAATGACAGAAGATTGCTGTCTACTACTCATGGAGCTAACCTACCTTTCAGGTGTCACAGATGTTGCATTTTGGATGTTTATTCTCCCTGTTGTGCAGCACCACTGTCAGGTGATGTTCTGTGGACACAAGTAAATTTAAAATCTTCCCTATAGGCTATCCTATAGCCTAGGGGGAGGGTGCACTGGTCCAGGACCCAAAGGTTTTTAATTCACCTCTTTCATACTGACTACTGTTTAGTTTTGATGCACTTCACAAGCTAGGCTACTGAGAATGTCCTCATATCTCTACCTTAGGAGGGAGGCAAGCTGCATTCTTCCCATTTTACAAATAAGTTAAGAGGTTGCACAAGCTTACTTCTGGCAGAACTCAGGTCTCTACTATGGCACATCCAAGTTTCATCCACAGTGCCTCTCAGACAGCGTGTGCCAAATGTATGTGCTTATAATTGTTCTAACCACTAGCCCACACTTCCCTCAGGGCCAGGAACAGAACCCAGGAATACTGTTCTTCAGTCTATCACAGTTTAGCAAATAGTTGTATAACAGCCTGGCAAAAAATGTGTCACATCCCCAGTAGTGGCTGATCCCCACCCCAGTAGATTGAGTGAAAGAGGCTTACACTGTGGAGATGAGGGTCTAAACACTACTGGTGACCTGCTGGGGTGTGAGCATATGTTTGCAGGTGATGGGATTTCGGGTTTTCCCCCTTTTAAACAACTGATTTACTTAATTCACAAAGCAAAGAAAACAAAGTTAAAACTCTTTAATCTGGCAGGTGTTGCACAAATCAGACATTTGAAAATAGATTTCGATTGCTTCCGTCACAGATGGGTAGGTTCAAAGGTTGAGAGGAAAGACAGCAATTCCTATAGGTTCTGCTAGTTATTCCTACATTTGCAGGAGTCTAGAAAGTGCCCTTTTTCTGTGGAGAAAGAGAATGCTAATCTGCTAGGAGCAAAGTTAGTGGAACACAAATTTCTCCTACTCCTGAACATGGGTAAAGGGACTCAACATATTTATGGGCCACCTAATAGGGTGCGGAACTAACAGGATCCCTGCAATAGAAATTCTGTTTCTGTTTTATTTGAGAAGGTATCTTCAATGATTATTAAAACTGGTCCCGTCTCCCCAACCCACCACCAGAGAGACAAGATCTTAATTTACCTTTAATGACTACATCACTTTTAAATAGCTCAGAAAGCAATTGACCGATGCACTTTATCAATAATTAAACAGCTTTTGAGAAATTCTGCAAAACATTTTCAATGCAAAGCAACTAACCCAAACACATTTTCCTTTCCTGTATAAATCCCTCTCCCCCCCCCACATTTTTTTTCATCCTCTCTTTTAGGTAATAAACCACATTTTAAAATAATGGAATGACAAGATTTAAAGCTTCATCTGAACTAAGTGTCAGGAAGTGTTTAAAATCAAAAAGGTTAAAATAACAAACGGGAAACTAATGTCAAGTGTCAGTATGTGAAAAAAAACCGCTCTTTGCTCATTGCAGACAAATATGTTCATTTTGTATTTCAGTCTGCAAGGGATTTCCGCTCTTATTTTTTTCTGAAGACTAAGGAAAGTTAACCGAGTCTGTGTCCTTGATCTTTAATTTTACCCTGTTTCTTAGCCAGAGAATCAGCCTTATATAATCCATGGGCTCCATCAAACCAAAATTCCTGGTGCAATGCAACACCCTACGTGCTGAAATACAAAATGACTGAGGGCGGATAAAATAACACTTAAGACCTTTGATTAAAGTGGGTAGAGATCTCTAGGATTTCAGGCAGTGAGATTTAAGGCATTGTAAGACACATGTAATTTCTCTCCTGAATTGGCCTTTGCTACTACTACACCTAAAGAAGTGGCAGAACGGGAAACAACGTACACAAGGCACCAGACTCCGCTGCAGCGATTTCATTAGTCTACGTGATGCATCTGAAGAAGTGGGGGTTTTTACCCACGAAAGCTTATGCCCAAATAAATCCGATAGTCTTTAAGGTGCCACCGGACTCCTCGTTGTTTGTGTGGATACAGACTAACATGGCTACCCCCTGATACTAGTCTACATGTTTTTCTGGTTTTGGAATGAAATTGGTGTTTGTGAAAAGTGCTGGATCAGGAGTCCAAGATCTGAAACCTTTTGCCTACAGAAAATAGGCAGCCCAGAAATCAACAGTGCAATCTTCCCTTGCCTGACCTGCTGCCATGCCTCATGTCCCGTAGGGACCACTTCAAGGGCCAGGGAAGACCGGTCATTCTTAGCCTCCTCCAACACAGGTGCCACTGGGGATAGTGGAGTTTTAATAGGTTTTATGGAAGTGCAAATTTTTTTCTCAAAACACTCTACAAAAGGAACTTCAGCACACTCACGAGGTAGGTAGCACTATTTTACAGATGGGAAAACAAACACAGAGATGTCTTCTGCATGGCCACACAGCATGCAGGTGAAAAAAGCGATACATAAAACCTGAGTGATGAAATCAATTAAGCTCCAGGGGGGTGCAGTGATTTGAACTACAGGTCAAATGAAATGTTTTGGATATTTGTACCTTTAAAAAATAAAATTGAAGTAAGATTTATAGAAGTCATTTTAAGCTGAAACATTGAAATGTTTCAAAAATGCCAAAACAAAATGTTTAGACTTTTTTGGGTCCCTCTGAAATCAAACAATTCAGTGAATTGACACAAATTCAGTTAACTTCTGCTTCTCCCTCACCCGAGCTAAATGCATCACCCAGCTGTGTGTGTAATGCGAAAGCATGGTGTTGTTCTAGTGAAGATTATCACCATGTTTGCAATATCTCTCAAGTAAATAAAGTTTACAGCAGATGTCTAAAGGAAGTCTTTTCTTCCTCCAGTTATTTCAGAGACAAGGTGGATAAGGTAATATCTTTTAAAGAGCTCTGTGTAAGCTCAAAAGTTTGTCTCTCATCAGCAGAAATTGGTCCAATAAAAGATATCTCACCCACCTTGTCTCTCTAATATCCTGGGACCGCCATAGATACAACATTCTAGCTATTTGAACAGACCTGCTACCAAAATGGTTTGTGTCCTCTTTTCAGGATTAATGTGTATATATAGGATTTAGGATACCTTCAGGATTTCATGTGCATACATAGTCTCACACTAGGTTTGCTATTTGACTACATTCTAGTCAAATGTGCCAGTAACAAGTTGGAAAAATCAGGGACTTTTAGCTTACTGAATGACACTTGGATATCATTAGTTTCAAAGAAAGAAAGATAAAAGTTGTTGGGTTTTGCATAGTCTCTTCTCTGGATAGTTCTTGAAAAAATCACACACCCTAAAATAAAGATTTTTAGAGGGGTGGGGTTTTTCTGTGTTTTGGGAGTTTGTTGTTTTTAAAATAGATAATCAATCAACAGGCTCTGCCATTTCTTTTCCAGTCATAGATGTTACCTCCCATTGCCTTAGGATGAGTGCAAACAAAGTTTGAAAGGTCCCATCATTCTAAGAAAGTGATTTTCCTTTGTTATGGCAGATTGGTGATGCAGACAACATAGAAGGCAAAGCAGAAAGGACTCATTCAGCTAACACTGTTAAAAATAATCAAACTCTTAATTTTCTTTATTACAGACCAGAAACAAAAAATCCATATCACAGGCTGTTCACCCTAGCAATCTGCTGTGGATACACATGGTGAGAGATCTCACTGGCAAATATGACACACTGGATACATTCTTATGCTGTGGTGGTTTGCATTTTTCCCCTCTTAATTGAGTGAAGAAACACCTTGATATGTCACTTAATAATGACTCGGATTTCAAATGCACAAGATTTGCAGGATGGCGCCTATAATACTTGACCTCTTTCCAAGCACTATACAAATATTAACCACTTCTGTTTTACATAACAGATATACTAGCCAAAATACTGCATGTATTAACAGCCTTCTGTTTCAAAGTTTTCAGGGAGCCATCTAGCTTATTTCATGTATTTAAAAAAGAGTGGGAAATGTCAACCCTCTGGCTCTCAGTGGAAACTTGAGTTTGGAATTGATGCACAAGCACGCATTTTTAGGAGCCTTCATTCAAGGTCCACAAATCTTCTTTTATTCAGAAGTCATGTTCCGGCACCGCAGCAGCATCATATATTAATTAAACTAAAACAGAGCTTGGGCAGTACTGGCAGGATTTTAGCTATTCATTGTCATGCTTTATTGCAAACTGTGAATCTCAACTGAGAGTTTTGAAAGTTTACTGTCCAGTGAGTGGAGCCAACAGCAAACGCCTAAGCAGTAGAGACTCTCTAGGTAAATAACCTTTTTGTACCAAAATGTACTCCCAAGAGACCTCTAACAGCTGTTTAAAAGAAGGCTCTGATAGTTTATAAATCTGCTTTAAATTGGCACAGAGTGATGTACTCATTTAACTGCTCTAATTTTTTTTATTAGGTAAATATTTTATTTTATTTTAACCTCAGTGTCATGCAATTATTTTTAATCAGATTGTTCAAAATCATCTACTCCTTTACTTTTTTCTACCTTATCAAATGGCCCAATTCCTTCCCTTTTACTAAAGTGAAATGACCTCCACTGAGGTAGAAAACAGACAGAGAAAGCAGAAAAAATGAGAGATGCCAGCACTTTTATGAATGGGATGCTAATACCAATCCCCAAAGGAGAAACTGTCAAAAAACAGCCATAAGAGAATTTATATATTTTTTACATTCTTGGATGGATTCTTTTTTTAAACCATAATGCCACAATCTGAAACACAATGAAAATGGAAACCTGTCATTCACTACTTTTATTTCTATGTTAATTTTGTTTTCTACTTTTGTGAATACAGAGCCATGCGTGCATCTATCACAGAAATGAAGACTGAAATATTTCATGTTGTACTGAGATGGCACACAGAGTACAATAAATAGTCCCACCATTATTTAGCTGCACCCAGTTCTTGCCACTGAAATATACATTTATAACAGCATTGAAATAACAGTCAGTAGCCACGATCCAAAGCAAGACTAATCATGTTCTCAGCTACAGGAATGAACAGGAGACAAATTTGACTAGTTTAAACTTGCAGTAATTTCACAGCATCTATAAAGATTGTTAAACTTCAAAGACTGAATCAACTATAATGTTTCAGAGGTGAGAGGAGAACAAGCAGCCCAATTTAAAAGGGACACTAAGGCTCTTGAATGTACTAAGCTTGGTTTTGGCTGCCAGGGATAGGTGAGCATCTCATCACATTGTCCATCTGCTCTGGCAGATGGATCATTCCACTAACCTGCTATCTCGCAGGCAGAGGGGACAGATAGGAGGAGATATACACCCATTTGTGATGCTGAAGAAAGCTAGTGTCCTGGTTGTGTTCTTGGCTGAAACTCACAGCTGCAAAGTTAAGTTTTAACAGGGCTACTGCTCACTTTGAGGAGATGATGGACTTTGAAATCTGAAGGACAGTTAAACATCAATCAACTATTTAAGAAAACAGTAGGATAAAGTCTGGGCCATCAATCCTAGTGACAACACAGGCCAAATGGCAGCAGCAGCAGCAGCAACAAAGGGGCAGACCTTATTGCCCAAGGACCAAGCACACCCCAGCGCCGCAGTACACAAAGGCTGAGTAAGCATGCTTTGGACAGGGAATCTAAGATGGGTTGAGGGAAGAATTCCTTCAATTTGCTTCCCAGTGGCTTGACATGATGTGACTGAATAACTGCTTAGCTGCTACCACTGCAGCCCATGGACTGTAGCAGCAACAGGGAGGTACAGTCATGTGGTGGAATCACTGGCCACACTTCCTCTCCAATATATGATGCCTGTGAAGTACCCCATACAGCCTGTGGCCTCCTACCCCGCACAGCTTACTGTTCGGATATAGATATTCAGGCCTGTCTGTAAAGACTTTAAGAATTTAGGTATATGTTTATCATTTAGCTAGTTATAGAGGTATAAAAGAAAGAATCAAAATCACTGTCTGCCTGAGTAAGGGCCTTCTCTCACTGACAGTCTGAGGCCCTGTTCTTAAGAGAATTATGTTACAATATGTTAGGATTGGTTAGATAGATTTCAGTAAAATGACTGGTTAAGGTAGGGTGACCAGATAGCAACTGTGAAAAAAAACAGGACAGGGGGTGGGGGATAATAGGCGCCTATATAAGAAAAAGTCCCCCAAAACGGGACTGTCCCTTTAAAAACGGGACATCTGGTCAGGGCCGGCTCTGGCTTTTTTGCCGCACCAGGCAAAAAAGCCTCCAGCCGCCCCACCCCCCAGGGAGCATGGCAGGGGAGGGCGGCGAGCCTGGCCACGGCCCCACTCTCCCCGACTGGCTGGAGCGCCGGAAGGAGGGCGGAGAGCCCAGCCACGGCCCTGCTCTTCCCGGCCGGCCGGAGCGCCGGGGAGAGGGCGGCGAGCCCGCCACGGCTCCGCTCTTCCTGGCGGCCGTAGCGCCAGGGGGAGGGCGGCGAGCCCGGCCGGGGCTCCGCTCTCCCGGACCAGCAGGAGCGCCAGGAGGAGGGCGAAGAGCCCGGCCGCGGCCCCGCTCTCCCCAAACGGCCGGAGCGCTGAGAGGAGGGCGAAGATCCCAGCCGCAGCCCCGCTCTCCCCGGGTGAGCACCGCCCCCCCTCCAGGTGCCGCCCCAAGCACATGCTTGGAGGGCTGGTGCCTGGAGCCGGCCCTGCATCTGGTCACCCTAGGTTAAAGTATAGCTGAGAATATTACTATATAAATTAGGGGCAAACAGGAAGTAAGTTGGGATTCGAAAATAAGGAAAAAGGAACTTAGATTTAAGCTTGCTGGAAGTTCACCTCAATAAACATTGAATTGTTTGCACCTTCGAACTTGAGGTATTATTGCTCTCTGTTCATGTGAGAAGGACCAGGGGAGTGGGACAGTGACGGAATAAGCCCTGTAACACTTACTATGGTGATTCTGCAGCTGTCTGCACCTGCAGGAGGAGAGGGCTGCATGTGGCCCAAGGAAGGGAAGATTCACTGCCACTGCAAGACCTTTAGGGCTGGAAAATAACAGCTAGAGTCCAGCAGAGGGACAAGCCAGCCATAGTTGCCAGAGAAGAGGATGAGTTGTGGTGTTCCTAGGGAGATCAGCAACTTTCATTATAAAATCTTGCATGTGAAACTAGCTCACCTGAGGTTAGTCTGCCTGCTCCAGATAACTCACTCTGTAGGTTTCCTTAGAGCTGCTGGCCCAGGGCAGGAAATAAGGTAGAGGAAGCCAGGCTTCTGATACCACTAAATCCTATGCTCTAAGAGAGAACAGGAGACGGGGCAAGACATGACAAAGCAGGGATCAAATATATTTTCAGTAGCACTGTGGCAGATGGTCTAACATGCAGGGTCTTTGTGGTAAAACTAGCCACTATTTCCCCAGAGGTGCTCCCCAGGGTTTGACTCTGGCCGGCCAGGCTGGCTCTATCAACAGGTGGTTGGTCCCCTGACCCTAACAAGGTCTTCTAAGGACAGCATGTTTTCCTTTCTTTGGCCACAAGAGGTGCCTATGACAGCAGAAGCAGCAGGGGCTTATTACTACCAGGAGAATGAGACAAAACAGAGGGATCAAATATCTAAAATAAACTGACACTGTTTTTCCTTCTGAGCTATCTAGGTATCTATACTGCACTAATGAGTGCCTTACAGGTTAATTAAGTGTTCAGAAGGTTCTTCTCTCTCACCTGTAGCTTCCCCCCCACACCTCCTCCCTGCTCTGATTCCCCCGTCCCCTCACCTCTTCAATGCCCTCTTTCATTCATCCAGCTTTAAAATGAGGGGTCAGGAAAGAGTCAGTCCAGCTTGAAATGCAAAAGTGAAACTCTGAAGCATAGGACGTAAAATTAGGATGGGTAACATTCTTTGCAACTATCTAATTAGAGCCACATGCAATTATTTTGCCAAGTTGCTGGTCAACATTTTTGTGATTTCACTGCATGTGATTTTGTGCCTTCAAAATGTTTTTTTCTCACAAGGCTTTGAGAACTAATTTTTTTGCAACGCCATGTTGGCATATGAAGTGTGTCTTCATCTGAATACTATTTTGAATTTCAAAACTGGATTATTTATCTGAAAACAGGACTATTTTTTGTATGAACATGAGCCCATTGTCTGCTGAAACTGCATAATGTGCTAACATTAGCATGCAACTCCATTTGCAAGTTGAATCAAGTTAAAAATGTCTGCAAGAAAAAAAGGGATCCTGTTTTCAAGGTAACAATGAAAATTTTTGAAGGTTTTGACTAATTGGACCATTTCCTAAAAAACCCCACAATCAAACTGTCACCAATGTTTTCAGACTTCACTGCAAGCATTTTGTACAGCCCCAGTTTTCACTCTTGGGTATTTGTAATGATTTCAGGTACCTACAGAAACCGAGAAGGAGCACACACATTAAAAACACAAGGTTCTACCTGGCAGCATGTTTCAATCACATCATTTCAGCTTCTATTCCCCTAAGCTTGTAATCACGCTGTATATTAGCTGTTTTAACAGAAGATCGGCCTGGCTGTTGGAAATGGCTAGTTTTTACATCCATATTTCAGATGTCAAGGAAGTCAGTATCTGAGGAGGCCGTTAAAAAAATGAAACAATTACAAGTCAATAAAAACTCAAAAGCCTTGGGTCAGCGAGCAACAGCAAACCCACCAAACTTCAAAAAACAAGAGGCCCAATTCCCTTCTCATATCAGTGTAAATGAAGAGTAACTCCACTGCTGTCAACAGTTACTCCAGCAAAAGTGAAGAGAAGCAGGGTGGAGACTTAGCATTGCACAGAATAGGGAACCATATAGAGAAAACTGACTTTCCATCAAAAGTGAATAAAGGGCCAAATCTTTGTTCCCCTTACCCCAAGTGGGCATGAAAGCACCTAGGAGATAGAAAAGCCACATTCTGGCAGTAAAGTGGAAGAATGGGCTTGTCCAGAAGCAGAGAACCTGCATAGAAAGACTCTGTACTATTTTCTCTGCCATGATGCTTAGAATAGTGGGCAGCCACAGGAGTGGAAATGGATCCATGCATAACCAGCTGATTTCCTTTAAAGTCCCTTACTATCTTCTGCTTCACTGCCTTGTGCTCTCTCATGTCTCTCCAACTGCTCTGTCAATTGTCCCTTTGTGCTGACTCTCTTCTCTCACTGCCAGCATTCCTCAAGGTTCTGTTCCTGGTCCCGTTATGTCCCACATCTACCCCTTAAACTCATGTGACCCCATAGCTTCAATTCTACATCAGAGACTCCTAAATCTACCTTCCCCCCCCCCCCATCCCTGACCTCTCCTGTTTTATCCAGTCTAACCAGCCCCAATTTAACAGAAAAATTGACCTTATCTTTCTGCCTAAACCCTTTCCCCCCTTTCTCCCTGCTTCACTGCGGCAAAGGGCACCCCTATCCTCCAAGACACTCAGCCTTGGAGTCAAATGTAAACTCCTCTCTCCAGAGGCCATCACCAAAACCTAGCTGGTTCTCTCTCTACATCATTCCCTCTATGGCTTTGCACCTCCTCACCACCCTCCAATGTATCCAAATGGCCGCTGCTAAAATCATCTTTCTTGTGTGCTGCTAGGATCATATAATTCCCCTCCAATTGCTTCCTCTTGTCACCATGTTCAGGCTTCTTGTCCTCAGCTTCAAAACTCTGCATGACTCCACCTGTGCCCACATCCCTGCTCTAATTATGTATTATCTACTACAGCAATGCTTACCAACCCCAAAAGAGATTAAGCCCCGTTGTGCTAGGCACGTTGATACACATAAAAAGAGACAGCTCCTGCCCTAAAGAGCTCACACGCTAAGTAGACAAGATAGACAACAAGTGGGAGTCATTATTCCCATTTTACAGAAGGGAAACTGAGGTGCAGAATAGTAAGTGACCTGACCCATGGTCACACAAGTAGCATGTAGCAGCAGAGAACTGAACCACACATTTCTAAACCCCAGTCCAGCAGCTTAGCCACAAGCCCACCTTTCCTCTCCATGTATTCTTATTTCCTTCACTCCACCCTTCTTGCCTCATTATTCCCTTATGCTCCCAGGCTTGTCTTTGGTTTTTCATGCTGCTCCGTGAGTCTGAAAATTCCTCATTTCTCCCTCTTCATTCAGAACTCCGAAACTCATTTCTTCCACAGATCATTCCAACATTATCCCACCAGAGCAATGCTACCATACCTCTGTCACTATACATACCAAACCTGCCATGCTCTATGATGGAACCAATCTGCTGGCCATCTAGGGCATTTCCTGTCTGAATGGCCTTCTGTCTACTGCGACTGTAAAGGTCGGGGATCATGTCTCCCAAGTACCAAGCACACTGTTAGTGCCTACAATAGCTATGTAGAGTTGGTCAAATAATAATGTTGCTTAGAAAAGGAATTTCTTCAATGCAACTTAAGGTGGGAATCGGGTGTCCTGTGACTCCAAGAGGCTAATATACTTTCCCTTAACTCCTCACCCCTTTACTTTTTTCCATTGTTTTGGCCTTATTACTCTCAGAGCAGCCCTATACCTGGAGTTACCTCTTACAGACATTTGTAAAGATTTTACTCCTTCATGCATTCCCCAGTTTGCCCTACAATGCTTTAGAGAGGAAGATCTACTCACAACCTTTTATCTTAGAAAACCAAAAACCAAAATCCTCAAGAGTTTTCCCATGTGCTTTTATTTACTCTTTGGAAGTGGGGTTTTATAACAATGCTGCATGGAGATGGTGGATGGTGTCTCAGAGTCAGAACATCTTTCCTTCAAAGGCCTCCAGGTTGAAAACTGTGTCCAGGAATCTCCGGAGCGACACCAGGTGAGCATTCTTGTTACCCGTGGCAGGAGCAGCGGCTGGTTCTCGGCCAACATACCTTTGTAACACAAGAGACAATGGGGTAGACAACAGCGAGGAGAGAAGAGACAGAACTCTAAAACTAACAAGGATGCGTACATGCAATGTAGACAGAAT